AGAAAGCGATCTGAAAACTTCTCATCACAGAAGAAAATATTTGTAACTGTGTGGTGATGGATGTTAACTAGGCTCTTTGTGGTGATCATTTCAGAACATATACAAATATCAAATCATTATGTTTATACAAATATTGAATCATTATGTTGTTCACCTGAAACTAATGTAATGTTATATGGCAGTTATATCTCAATTAAAAAAAACATGCAAAAAATGTGGTACTAGGTAAGGCTGTGAAAAGGTTAATTGTTTATATTGGGCTGGCCAAAAGTTTGGTTTTTTCCATACAATGGCTCTAGTAGCGCTTAGTTGTCTTTAATGTCATTTGAAACAATTTTGTTAGATTGTATTGTGACAGCTGTCATATCAGTGCATCAAAAAAAAACATAAAAGTTGGTGAATTTTTGTGTAGCCATTTTAATATTGAAGATAGAAGAAAATATGCAACACTTTTGGAATATTATGCTTTATTATTTCAAGAAAGATGAAAATGAAACTAAAAGGCAGAAAAAAATATCTGTGCAGTGTATGGAGAAGGTGCTGTGACTGATCGGACATGTCGAAAGTGGTTTGTGAAGTTTCGTGCTGGAGATGCCTCACTGGATGATGCTCCACAGTCAGGTAGACCAGTTGAAGTTGGTAGTGATCAAATCAAGACAATAATTGAGAACAGTCAATGATATACCACACAGGAGAGAGCTGAGACACACAAAATATCTAAATCAATAAAGTTATTGGTGAAAATGAAAAACATGTCTTTTATTTTATGGGAAAAATACACTTTTTGGCCAACCCAGTAGTACAGTGTGGAAACTGAAATAAGAAGGCAGAGCATTACCTTGTTTGACCTCAGTCAGGAACATGTGCATCAGGCAACTTGAATATTTGACCACTCTGCACATGTCTGTAAGTGCCTATGAAAGAGCCATGAGAATTGATTTTCAGGTTACAAGTAAATTTTAGCAAGCAGGGCAGATATACAAATGTGGAAGTCATGAATAGCATTTAACTGTATATTTCTTCTCTTATGTTTCCTTTCTCATTAAATGACACCACCATCAAACTAGTTACCCAGGTTGGAAACCTCACATCAGCCTTCTTCCTGTCCTCTACCAACCATATCCAATCTATAATCAGCTTGTACTTCGTAAATATGTCAGATTCTGACTGTTTTTAAAAAAGATTTTATTTATTTATTTTTAGAGAGAGAGGGCAGGAGGGAGAAAGAGAGGAAGAGAAATATTGATATAAGAAACATTGGTTGGTTGTTTCCCGTATGTGCTGCGATTGGGTACCAAACCCACAACCCAGGCAAGTGACCTGACTGAGAATCAGACTAGTGACCTTTTACTTTGCTGGATGATGGGATGATGCCCCATGAATGAGCCACACCAGTTAGGGCTCTGACCGATCTTTTTGTATCTAATTTTCCTTTTCTTCATTGTGTTCATTGCATTATAATTCCGGGTTTCTTAAACTAACCGTCTTTAGAGTTGAAGTCTAGGTGTCTTAACACAGCTCCCAAAGTCGTCCAGCCTTACCTCTTGTCGTCTTATTCCCTCAGCCCTGAAGTTCTAGTGACGAAGAGCTTCTTTCTGCTCATGGGATGCGTGATGCCTTCTTTCTTTGAACCCCTGTGTGTCTACAAGGAACACTTTTTCTTCCCCTTTTCTCTACCTGGCTTATTCTTCTGACTTGTTCTTTAATTTTGTTTGTAGATGTTATTTTTCTTTTGTGGGAAGCCTCTTCTGACATTCCTTCCACTCTGTGTGCGCGCACACACACCACCCTAGTCCATACGATTCTGTAGTTTATTTTAATGTAGCTGCCTGTTTATTGGTCTCCCGCCAGAAACTATAAATTCAGTGAGAGCGGGACCATTCTCAGTGTCTATCACATGGTAATAAAGCACTTTATTTACGTTAAATGACGTGCTTTTCTGTGATATTGTGTGTATTAATCATTATGAAGCCTTTGGGGCACTGTGATACTAATGACATGAAATGAAAAAATAATACCAACACATCTTTTCACTTCCTTGCCTATTATTTTATTTCTATTAGCTTATTCCATCAGTAGCATTTGAGTTTTAAAATACATTGATGACTAAAGGAATTTGAAGCTGAAGTGGCAAACTCTATAGTTCCTCTATCGACATGTTAGCCAGTGAGCAAGCACTTCATCTGTCACTCAGCTGGGCGGGTCAGACCTCTGCTTCTCAAATCCAACCTGTAAGCACCGGGTTGACGAAGTTGCCAGAGGACATAGAATAGTCAGTGGTGAATTTATTTAGCAGCCTCTAGTGAAAATCTAACTCATTTTTGTAAATTAAGTTGGTCTTTTCTTATGTTTTTATTCTATTGAATGATTATTTGAAAGGCAAAACCGTATCTAGTTTATAATTAAGTAGAGGTTCATGCTTTTGTTTTTGTATAGAATTTCATCTTTTGTATTTTCTATCATTTATAACAAATAATGACATTTGTATACTATGGCCTAATTAAAGAGAAGGCTTTCTCTAAATTCTCAGCCAGTGTATCTTGGCTCCAAAAGCATGTTGAATATGTAATGTCACACCAGAATAATAAAGGGCCTTTAGGGCTGTTAACCTTAAAATGGAAAGCCCTTCAGTGTGTACGGAATGTGATTGACATTTAATTACACCACTATGCCGTGCAGTGGTGACAAGTGGCGAACAACTTTAACAAACCCACAGGCAGTTTCCACTTCTTATTTTTAACACAGAATTATTTGCTACCTCATTAACTTATGGATTAAGGAAGCCTTGAAATAGCTGTCTTAATGTTTGATTTTATTTTATAGGCAGAAAAACTCAGGTGTGTACAGTTGTAATCACTTCAGCATTTTAAAACCTGTGTTTTCAAGTTACACCAGGGGTCAACAAATGACGACCCATGGGCCACATCCTGCCTGCTGCCTGTTTCTGTATGACTTGTGGACTAAAATTGGTTTATATTTTTCAATGGTTGGTAAAAATCAAAAGAAGAATAATATTTTATGACAGGTAAAAATTATATGAGATCCTAATTTCTGTGGCCACAAGTAAGATCCCATTGGAACCCAGCCACTCTGACTTCTACATTGTCTATGGCTGTGTGTGCCTGCAACAGAGGGGGCAAGTAGTTGTGACAAAGGCTGTACGGCTAACAAAGCCTGAGAGTATTTGCTGTGCTCCCCTTCACAGGAAACGTTGGGTTACTCCGAAGCTGTGCTGGTAAGTTTATAAGGTTAAGCACCTTAAGTCAACTTTCCCTATTCAAAGAAGTCATGTTGAATAAGATTCTTCAGATGTTTGGGAAGGTGAAGGAAACTGAACTGGGTATTGCAGGAAGTTTATACTTTCTCACATGGGCAGGGCTTTTACTTTCTTCATTCATTTTTTACTTAATTTTTGAACAAGCACTTGCATTGTGGGTATTATGCATCAGATACTGTTCTAAAAGCTTTGTAACTCTTCTAAATCTTCCTAATAACTATGTGTGGTTGGCATCTCTACAAATGAGAAAACCACAGCACATCTATTTGTGAAAATTAAAGAGTTAAATGGTGGAAGTTGAATTAGTGAACGGGAAATTATATAACTAGTCATATGAGCTGTAGAGCTAGGAAGGGGCGGAGCCACGATTTGAATGACATTGGCTGTTCCAGAATCAGCGCCCTTACCCTTGTGCAATGCTGTCTTTTCCTTTCCACTCTTGTGTGTTTAGAGAAGTCTTAAATTAAAACTAGACTTTGGTAATGGGGGAGCATCCTGTTTTAAAAGCATTGAACTTATATTTGTTTTCTTGGGCTACTGTAGCAAACCGTCACAAACTGGGTGGCTTAAACCAACAGATATCTGTTCTGTCATAGTTTTGGAGGCTGGAAGTCAAAAATCCAGGTGTCAGAAAGCCATCTTCCCTCTCAGACTCTGGGTAGAATTCTGCCTTGCATCTTTCTAGCTTCTGGTGGTGGCCGTCACTCCTCAGTGTCCCATTTGCAGTGGTGCCACTCCAGTCTCTGTCTGTGTCACCACAGGATATTCTGTTTGTCTCCATCTCTGTGTCTTTTCTCCTCTCTTTTGAGGACACCAGTTTTACTGGCTTGAGGGGTACCTTACTTTAGTACGATTGTATTTTCTTTAAGTATGGTTGTGTATTAATTTAATTATATCTTCAATGACCCTATTTCTAAATAAGGTTACATGGAAAGATCCTGGGAAGGACGTAAATTTTGAGAGGACACTGTTCCATTCAAACCAGTTACAGAGGCAGTGCTTGCTCTTTAGCACCTCGAGTTTAAGTCCAGAAACCCCAGAAAAGTGGAAACTATGCACTATGAATTTCCAGGCCTTCCAACCAACCAACCAACCAACCAACCAACCAACCAACCAACCATCCATTTTCCTTCCTTCCTTCCTTCCTTCCTTCCTTCCTTCCTTCCTTCCTTCCTTCCTTCCTTCCTTCCTTCCTTCCTTCCTTCCTTCCTTCCTTCCTTCCTTCCTTCCTTCCTTCCTTCCTTCCTGTGATAGAATATGTTCTGGAAAGACTAATTTATTGTTTTGAGTTTCTACATTTCTCCTATCTTTGGCTCTTTGCTCATGATTCAGTTTTATTCTGGACATTTTTCTTCTGGAATGTTCTGTAAGTTTTTTTTAAAGAACATTTTCTCAGCTCAAGCCTCTGAGAATGTTGGTTTTTCTCTTCTTGTGAATTTGTGATAGTCAATTCAGAAACCAGCTTTGGTGTTTTGGGGGCTGAATTCTAGTAGTTTCCTTTTAAGAGTCTTTTGTATCCATCACTATGGGATTTGTAAGTAAAGTTCAACAAATAGTAATACTTATTTTTCATGTTTTCTGTGATTGTTATTATTGTTAAAATAGAAGGTCTTGAGAAATTCGGGGAGGCCTCACTTCCTGACCTGAGAGTTTCTCTTTTCCCATGAAATACTAGAGTGATTGGTCCAGTTGTGTCAACTCATTTCCTTTCATTTGTTCACAGGGTGCTCGGGAAACATTTGAGAACTATTACCGAAAACAGAGGCGAAAACAGGCCCGCTTGGTGCTCCAGCCTCCATCTAACATGGTAGTATCACTACGTTGACTTTGCTCACTTCTCTTTTCTTTTATCTTTTAACTATCTTGCATATATGCTTAAAATTTTTTTTAGTTGTTAGTCTGAGACCACTTTTTTTATTCTTGTTTATTCTGTTATAGTTGTCTCAATTTTCCCCCTTTGCTGTCCTCTGGCCAGCCCACCCCCACCCTGCTCCCACAGTCAGTTCCCACACTGTCGTCCATGTCCGTGGGTCATTCATATGTGCTCTTTCATGATTCCCTTCCCCCTCTTTCCACTCTTCCCCCTCCCTCCTTTTCTCTGGCAGCTGGTCAGTCCCTTTCATGTTTCCATGAATCTGGTTCTGTCTTGCTCCTTAGTTCATTTTGTTCATTGGATTCCTCTTATAAATGAGGTCACATGGTATTTGTCTTTCACCGACTGACGTATTTCACTTAGCATAAGTCTCCAGTTCCATCCATGCTATCTCAAAGAGTATGAATTCCTCCTTTTTTCTGCTGTATAGTATTCCATTGTGTAAATATACTACAGTGTTTAAATCCATTCATCTACTGATGGATGCTTAGGCTGTTTTCAACACTCGGCTATTGTATATAACACTGCTATGAACATAGGGGTGCATAAGTTCTTTAGAACTAGTGTTTCAGGATTCTTAGGGTGTATTCCCAGCAGTGGAATCACTGAGTCAAAAGGCAGTTCCATTTTTAGTTTTCTGAGGAAATTCCATATTGTTTCCCACAGTAGCTGCACCAGTCTGCATTCCCTACCAGCAATGCATAAGGGTTCCCCTTTCTCCACAGCCTTGCCAGCACTTGTTTGTTTATGGCCATTCTGACTAGTGTGAAGTGGTATCTCATTGTGGTTCTAATTTGCATCTCTCTGATGGCTAGTGATGCTGAGCATCCTTTCATATGTCTCTGGGCACTCTGTATCTCTTCAGGTCCTTTGCCCATTTTTTAATTGGATTGTTTGTCTTCCTGGTGAGACCACTCTGATGAATGTAAAAAAATACCAACTCCAACATCTGTTGATTTCTATGTGTCAGACATTGTTCTAAGTCTCATTTTGTCCTCACTGTAGCCCTATGAGGTAGGTACTATTATTATGTTTAACTAATAGTCTTGGGAACTGAGTCTTAAGAAATTCAGAAGCTGATGTTAACTTTGTCTTAGTGTAGCAAAACAGAAATAATAACTTTTTCTTCTTTGCTTCATTGCAGCATGAAACTTTAGATGGCTACAGGAGGTATTTTAATCAAATTGTAGGGTAGGTATATGTGTGTGTGTGTATGTAAATTTTTGTACTTTGAATACATAGATTTGTGAGACTTGGAAAAAATAAATCAAATTTTCATTGGGAAAATTTTTTTAATTCTTAAGGCAAGATTTAATTTTGAATTTCTGATGATTTCAAAGGAATGGTTTCAATGTTATATTTCTGCAAAAGACTTTTTGTGGATAAAGGGAGAAAAGCACTGAATTGTAATCCTATTATATTTGATGTTTTGTTTCTTCATTATTGGTAAGAGGGAACCAAATAATAAGCAAAAGTTGGCAGACTTTTTCTAAAAAGGCCAAATAATAAAGTATTTTAGGCTTACCATGCCATTAGTGTTTCTTTCTTTCTTTCTTTTTTTTTTTAAATTTTGATCACAACTATTCAGTTCTGTTGCAGTGTGAGAGCAAATATCAATAATACGTCCATGAGTGGGCATGGCTGTGCTTCAACGAAACAATGTTCATAAACACACACAGTGGGCTGGGTTCATCCCAGGGGTGCAGGGTTTGCCACCCTCATCTGCAGTATCTGTGCTAGTGTGGGGTTGCATTCCCCAGCTGAACATCCCAAACATAGGCATCTTATTCTAATTGCAAAATAGTTACTGCAGCTTAAAGAAAGGGAAAGAAATTGGATTGTTCCACGGAGAAGAGAGGGAATTTCAGGGGAAAAAGGGGAAGGATTTACAGGAACTAGTATAAAGGACACATGGACAACAACTAAGGAGGGTGGAAATGGGAGGGAGGTGGGGAGCGCTGGGGGCTGGGCTGGGAGTAAAAGACAGAAAGCTGTACTTGAACAACAATTAAAATAAATTTTTTTCAAAAAAATTGTATAGGAAAAAATAAATTTAAATACATTTGATTAGATTAAGATTTTTGATTTAATTGATAGTTTGGATTAAAATATATCATGAATATTTCATATTTAAAGAATTGTTTTAATTAGTATGAATATTTAGGCAAGGTAGCTTAAAGCACACTTTAAATGCATAAAAATGTAAAAGCCTCTGCAGAATGTTGTTTGCAGTTGTTTTTTGTCTTTGTGAGATACCTTTTCAAGAGTTTATTAGGAAAGTCCATATAACAACAAGGATAATAATTTTGATATTTTCTGTGTTGGGTTCTTAAAATATATGTATTTTATCTTTTATTGTTTCTTTAAAGCCTATTGTTTTTTAAAAAATGTACTGATGTTTTTAGTATGACAAAATTAGCCTTTTTTTCCTATAAGTATTTTCTGCTCTTTTAAATTGTTGGATAACATGGTTAACATTTATCAGAAATGTAACTCCAATTTCTGTAAAAGTGGTTAAGAGGATATCAGGATCAGGGGCATAATTATAAGTCCAAGAAATCTGATTTTATTTAAGATACCAAACAGCTTTCTTTAAGAAAAAATGATTATTAACTGAGAATTTAATGGCAGCTCTTAATGTTTGTCAAACCTTGGAGATAGTATGTAAACTAATTTCTGACAGCCGTGCTTTCTTTTTTCCTCAATTTTAGCTTTTTTGTGGTTGAAGATCATATTTTACATACAACCCAGGGCTTAGTAAATAGAGCCTACATTGATGAACTATGGGAAATGGCACTTTCAAAGACCATCGCAGCACTCCGCACCCACTCGGTATGTAAGAAGCCCCGAGAAGTTCTTACTTCGAGCTTATTGTCTGTGGGATTCAGTGCTTTACTGTTTTAAAGAATCCTGTGTGTCATTTGAAATCTGAGATCAGGGTGCCAGCATGGTGGGTTTTCCTTGAAGACTTTCTTCCTGGTTTGCAAATGGTTGCATCTTTATTACGTCCTCACATGGCCTTCCCTCAGTTGTATTCTAATGTTTCCTCATCCTTTTGGAAGGACACCAATCTCATCAGGTTAGGGTCCTACCCTATTACCTCATGTGATCTTAATGACCTAAGGCCCTGTCTCTAAATGTAGTCACACTAGGGGATGGGGCTTCAGCATGTGAATTTCGGGGAACACAACATTCAGCTCATAATATCTGCTCTTTCCCAACATATTTTGAAGACCACCATTGTCACATAATGATTCGGATGCTGAGGTCTGTTCCTAGGCTCTGGAATACCCCTTTCCCTTTCCTTCTCCTGGTGTGTCTTGAATCAGTACCACATTGTTTTGATCATTACACCTGAAATAGTGTGGTTTAATTTTCTATAGGACATGTATTCTCCAAAATCTTCTTTTTAGAAGATGCTGACTATTTATCTTATTATTTTTCAAGAGTAATTTGAGGATTACTTTGCCATATTTCTTCCACCTCTTCCCCCTCCTTCCATCTATAAATGTAATTGGAAATAATTGATATATTTCAAAATCTGGTATTTTTCACCAGGAATATGTATATTTCTCTCTTACTTGCTTTCATGTCTTTTGGTAAAACATTTTATGTTCTCCATCTAAGTCCTATTTTTGGTGCTTTATGGTTTTTTTCAGGTAATATTTTAAGGAAGGTTTTTTCCCCAATCATATTTATTAACTAATATTACTTTTATTCTATGGAAATCTTTGATTTTGTTTGTTTTTTATTTGTTCATTTGAGTGACTTTTACTAATTTGTTTTTTCCTGGGGAAAGCTGTTTGCTTGTTTTTAGAAAACTTAGATTTCTTCCAAGCAATTTCTTTTACATAAGGCAGTGGTCTCAACTTTTGTGTGTGGCTGAGAACATTTGATGAGTCCATGTGATGAGTCTGCAGGGCTCTCTCAGCAGTACTGCACACTCTCTTCATCATGCAGTTGCTTTCCATGTTATTAGGAGCAGGACACTCTCCAAGTGTACTGATTAAAGTATACATGTATATAGAAAATTAATCTTAATGGAGTTTCTCCTTGTAGATTGACCATATGTTCTTTTGAATTAAAGAGTAAATGAGTCATGAAATCTAAAGACCTACAACCAAGATTGCTCTATCCAGTAAAACTTTTCATTTAGAATGAAAGGACAGATAAAGTGCTTCTCAGATAAGATAAATTTCAAGGAGTTCATCATCACCAAGCCCTTATTATATGAAATGGTAAAGGGACTTATCTAAGAAAAATAAGTTAAAAAAACATGAACAGTGAAAGGACAGCAAACTCACAGTTATTAACAACCATACCTAAAACAAAAGCAAAGTAAAAGGACAGCTAGATCAGGAGTGGAAACATAGAAATGAAGATCTCAAGGAGGGTTAGCAACAGGGGAGTGGGAGGAGGAGAAGGGGGGAGAAGGTACAGAAAATAAGTAGCATAGACAGTAGATAGAAAATAGATGGGGGGGGCAAGAATAGTATGGGAAATATAGAATCTAAAGAACTTGAGACACGTGGTCATAAACTAAAGGGGGGGTAATGGAGATGGGGAGGTAGGGTGGAAGGGAATGGAGGGGGGGAATAGAACAACTGTAATGGCATAATCAATAAAAAATAAATAAATTAAAAAAAATAAAGAGTAAGTGATAAAATGCCCCCCACCCCCATTCAGCATCAATCCACAGAGGGAGAGAAAGTGGATTAGTTAGGGCAGGAAGTGGGTAGCAGGAGCAAGGACATAATGGCTCCAAGGGCACAGGTTTCTTTCTGAAGTGAAGAAAGTGATCTAACATCGACTGTATTTGTGTTTGCACATATCTGCAAATGTACGAAAAAACTACAAACCAATGAATTATGTATTTTAAATCGGTGACTTGTGTGGTGTGGCAATTGTATCTCCAGAGAGCTATTAAAACATGAGTTAACATTGTTCACCCACATTTACTTACTGAGCCATTCTATCTGTTATGAGACAAAGTAGTTGATGCCACAGATGCAAATTCTATTTTATGGCACTGTTTATTGCATTACACTACCCACAAGCAGAACAAAATAATAATGACTCAACCATCAAAACAAACTATATTGGACTGATTGTTATTTGTTTATGAAAAATCTGTATTTTAAACTCTATTTAAAACTACTTTTTTACTTTGAATTGAATTTTTTCCATTGAATTATTAGTCATTGTACAAGTTGGAAACATTTTAGAAGATAATATTTTAGATATTAATGCGTATAATAGTCTCATGGTGATTTCAAAACAGTAAAGATCTTATACAGTGTCTCACCTAGAATTCAAATTTAACAATATATTAAAAGGATAATATGCTAATACAAAGGAGAGTTCATATCAGAAATGATTCAGTATTAGATTTGCTGATATACTTGCTAATATGATTGTTAATATGATAAAAGATCATCTGATAATACTGAAAAGGTATTTTTAAGATAAAAAATTATGAAACAGTGTGACTCAAAAAACTTACATTTTATAGATATAAAATATTGCACATTTTTTATTAGGTAGTGAAGAGTATGTACTGTGATAGTGGTTTTCTTTTCTCTTTATTGATTATGCCATTACATTTGTTCTATTCCCTGCCCCTTTGTTCCCCTCCACCCTGCACACTCCTCCCCCACCATTCCCCCCCTTTAATTCATGAACACGTGTCTCAAGTTTTTTAGATTCTGTATTTCCCCTACTATTCTTACCCTCCTCCTATCTATTTTCTACCTACCATCTATGCTACTTATTTTCTGTACCTTCTCTCCCCTTCTTCTCCCACTCCCCTGTTGCTAATTCTCCACGTGTTCTTCATTTCTATGGTTCACTCCTGATCTAGCTGTCCTCTTAATTTGCTTTTGTTTTAGATGTGGTTGTTGATAACTGTGAGTTTGCTGTCCTTTCACTGTTCATCTTTTTTACCTTCTTTTTCTTAGATAAGTCCCTTTAACATTTCATATAATAAGGGCTTGGTGATGATGAACTGCTTGAATTTGGTCTTATTTGAGAAGCACTTTATCTGTCCTTCCATTCTAAATGAAAGCTTTGCTGGATAGAGCAATCTTGGTTGTAGGTCTTTGGTTTTCATGACTTGGAATACTTCTTTCCAGCTCCTTCTTGCCTGTAAGGTCTCTTTTGAGAAATCAGCTGACAGTCTGATGGGAACTCCTTTGTAGGTGACAGTCCCCTTATCTCTTGCTGCTTCTAGGATTCTCTCCATTTTAATCTTGGCTAATGTAATTATGATGTGCCTTAGTGTGTTTCTTCTTGGGTCCAACTTCTTTGGGACTGAGCTTCCTGGATTTCCTGGAAGTCTATTTCCTTTGCCAGATTGGGGAAATTCTCCTTTATTATTTGTTCAAATAAGTTTTCCACTTGTGGCTGTTCCTCTTCTCCTTCTGGTACCCCTATAATTCGGATGTTGGAGTGTTTAAAGATGTCCTGGAGGTTCCTAAGCCTCTCCTCATTTTTTTGAATTCTTGTTTCTTCATTCTTTTCTGTTTGGTCATTTTTTCCTTCCTTCTGGTCTACTCCCTTGATTTGAGTCCCAGTTTCCTTTCCATCACTATTGGTTTCCTGTGCATTACCATTCATTTCAATTAGTTTAGCCTTCATATGTTCCTTTAATTTGTGACTAAAATCAACCAGTTCTGTGAGGATCCTGATCACCAGTGTTTTTAACTGTGCATCTGAAAGTTTGGCTATTTCTTCATTGCTTAGATTTATGGGCTCTGGGGCTCTGAGCTGTTCTTGAGCCATCTTTGGTCTGTTCGCACCCGTTAAGTATGAGGAACGGAGCCTTAGTTGTTTACCAGGGTGGGCGACCCAGGTTGCTGGGTTGTGATGCTGTATGTGGGGGCGGGGTCAGAGAGGGAGCAATGGCGGTCCTCTCCGCTCGCCCAGTTTGTCCCACTGCTCACCCCCGCTTTGCTTATCTGCGTGCAAATGCTTGACTGACCGCAGACAGCCAGCTGCGCTTCTTCCCTGTGTCCGCCAGTAGCTAGCCTGCACCTGGGATCTGCGCCTTCGGCTGCCTGTGCATCACCCCAGTTGGGGATCTTTTTGGCCAACTGGTTCCGCTCCTGGCTTCGCCCCTCTTACCGGTTTAGCTGAGTATTTCATTGTTTATGGACTCTGTATTGTTGATTTTCTGTGTGGTTTGGTTGCGTTTATTGTTGTTAAAACTTTGTTGTTTTTAGATTTGGCTGTACACGGACGCAAGGTGTTTCCACCTTCACCTCCATCTTGGCAGAAGTCCTGATACTGGTTTTATACACACCCACATGCACATTCAAACCTGTTCCCCATCACACACATAATTTAAGTGTTTTTGAGTCAAAGGGTGCACTAAGCATATGTTTCTTCCAGGTCTCCTAGACAAACTGTCATTGAAATAACATGGGTGGAAAACAACTAAAGAGGGAAACTTGTCCAAGTGCTATCAATAGGCTAGAAGTTTCAAAAAATTTCCTTCAACTTAGAAAGCAGATGAAATCAGAAATGGCCGAACCTGAGAATAAAAATTATGTTTTGTATGGTAGGGCATGGTTATTGTCAATGTTGGAGACATTCTTCCAGAGGGAATATAGGAATATTCAAAGTTCAAAGTCAACAGATACAAGGAGCAGGAATGGGCCTAGGATGAATCATAAGGAAAATTATTTAGAGCTTTGCTTTCCAAACCCCTTGGTCAACCAGCTGCTTACCCTAATCATTTGGCCAACCTTACTACATAAATAAGGAGGCAACAGCACGATCAGTGAAGTTCTCTGGTACTGCGTTTTGAACAAAGTGATTCATTTGCCCCACCCACTTGCAAAGAGCCTGCACTCAGTTTCTTGGGAAAGAGACTTAAAACTCTAGAGGATGAAACCCATGCCAGTCATTCATAGTAATCAACCTGCTCCTTCATTCCTCAACATGAACAGTCAAGATTCATAAAATATCCTAGGGAAATCAATTACAGCAAGTAGAATACAACAATAAACAAGTAAAATAGCTATTCTTTAGCCAATATAAATAATTTATGGGCTTGGGGAAGAATTTACAAAGTAATAATTATTTTTCATTTTAGGAATGTACAAGTCTAGGTTATTCATACCAAGTGTTCAGCTGGAAATAACTAACAGAGCTGTACTGTGTATGTATATTATGTGAGATGTTCTTTAAGTCTTGGTAAGGATAGTAAGGACTTACCAGGTCAAGTCCACAGGAAATGGGCTGTCCACGGAGCCCTGAGGTCACTTGTTAGTCCAGACAGTTTGAACTTAGATTTTGACAGTCTGTTGGGCCCACCCAGGTTAGAGATGGAAAATATGAAAGGGAAGTTAAGAAACATAGATAATTGATGTAGAGTTTTGGTTTTATCTAATAGAGAGAAAGGACAGTGACAAAGAAGGTGACTTTATTAATTGAAGAAATAAAAGGAAATTTCCCTGCTGTGAAGAAAGACTATACAGTTAAATTTGAAAGGATGCATCCTGGGTTGAGCAGGGTAAATGACAACAGACAGTTTTTTCACATCTGAAAATATATATTTTTTAGTTTGAAGGCAAAATGAAGGCATTTTCAAACATATTAGGATTCAAAGTTTACATTTTACCTATCTTAATTGGTGTTCTACAATGAGAAGTGTAAAATGAAAAAGAAATCCAATATATAAGATGAGATAGGATTAAATACAATATGTTAAAAAGAGGTTAAAACTGATGGATAAAGCTAAATACTTGATTGTCTATTTACAAAGTTTAATGCTGTTAAGAATACCTACCAAAGTAGGGCCTTAATATTTTAAAAGTTTACATGAAAACTCTAGATTATTTCAAATAAACTAGTGAGCAGACAGTATATAACTTATTAATAACCACTATAACATAATTTAAAAGACTCGACCAAATGAAAAACAAGAGAGGAAAACAAAAAAGGAAATAATTATAAATAGAAAACTTGAAATGGCTGGAATAGGTCCAAGTATGTTAGTAATTGCAATGTTCTGCAAGGCACATAGAACAGAAGTTGAAGACCATTTATTGAATGGGAGAGGAGAGAAATATTGTGTATTAATATTTGTTTTAACCCACCAAAATGATAATAGCTTATTTACAGGAGACAAGCAAGCATAACTAAGTATGAAAACAAAAGTGTTAATAATAAGAATAGAAATTGATGAACCACAACATTGTGGGGAAATTTAATACACTGCTTTCAGGAACTGAGATGTCAAGGAGAGAATAAGTAACCAAACTATAATGAAGAGAATTTGAATAACAAAATCACCAAACTTTTAAAATAGCGACATATACATTTTTGCATCCTGCCCACAGAAACTATCTTCTATGCCATTTCAGTTTCCAAATTTGTTGCTAAGAGATTATACATGGATCTTATTTGTAATCTTTATTTTCGTCTATATTTATGTTTATTTTCTCTTTTGTATTCCTTGTAGTTTTGCTTTTTCTGTGTTGTTTAATCAGACGTGCCTAAGATTTGTCTATTTTATTGATTATATATATTCTTTTAGAAAATGAAGAAACATTTTTATTGAATTTGTTAGAGTCTCATTGGTTAATAAAATGTTACAGTTTACAAGTGTACAGTTTTTTAATACATCATCTGTATATTGTGTGTTCACAGCTGAAAGTCAGGCCTCCTTCTGTAACTGTTCCCCTTTACCCCCTTCCCTCTGCCCTCACCCTCCTTGGGGATCACCATGGTGTTGTTTATGTGTCCAAGTTGTTTATCGATTATATTTTTAAACTGAGCTTTTGGTTTCATTGATCAAATCTTTCATGTGTTCTCTAAGTCATTAATTTCTGCTTCTAATTTTATGTTTTTTTTCTCTCATTTACATATGGTTTATTTTGGCCTTTTTTGACCTTGCTTTATGAGTTGAGAGCTTAGTTTCTTTATTTTTCACCTTTTCTGTTTTTTAATATTTGAATATAAAGAAGTATACTTATTTTGAAAGTGGCTTTAACCACATTTGATAGGTTTTGATGTGAAGTATTCATTGTCCATTTTAAAATAATCTGCAGTATCAATTTAATTTATTCTACAACTGAAGAATTATTTAGAAGTGTGTTTTTAAATTTTCAAGTGTTAAAAATGTAGGTTATGGCTTACTGGGGTCTGTACTCAGCCCCTCCCTGGCCAGATCTGTTGTTACCTTAAATCTGGTGTCAGACTCTTTTTTGAGAGTCTTCAGCAGGTGAAGCAATAAACAGTTAAATCAAAATTTAGTTTTATTTTTAATAATTAAGATTTTTCCTAATTTCCTCTTATTTCCTTTAGTCTTACTGCTCTGATCCAAACCTCGTGCTAGATTTGAAGAACCTCATTGTGCTTTTTGCTGATACACTTCAGGTTGGTGACTTCTCTTTATATGTATTTATCTAGATTAAAATTTCATCAACTCTGAATCTTTTCACTGTCTACCTAAGCCTGAATAGTAAGTATCTTTCAATTTTAAGTTGTGTTTCTTCTTTACCTAGAGCTAGATCTTTTTAGCATTTCCTGATCATCACTGTGGCCATTTATAGTCTCATGAATCGTTCCCATCCCCCCTTTTTCCTTAGAACAAATAAATGAATTGAAGCAGCCACTACCTTAGTATTCCAAATGTTCTTAATTCACATTTCGTGCCTATGGAACTTTAGAGTTTCTTAACTGCCATCTTAAATGATGCTTATTGATTTGAACCACATATTATATTAATAAAATAGCATTAAAAATGCGAATGGTAGCATTTTCAATTTCTCTCCCTTTTCCTGATGGTTCTATGCATTATAGGAAGAGTTATAGGGAGAGGTTAGCTGATGTTTTACCCGTATATGTTGATTTTAATTTTCATCTTTTGTTTTTTTCTGACTGGCTTAAATATTTTGGTATGTATTTTTTTTTCTTGAAAGATAAACACTAGATATTAGGTGGTAACGAAGGGCTGTTTATCATGGTTTCATTTAAATTGTTGGCCAAATAACAAAGATTATCTTTCAATGCTTAATCTTTCTCTTGTTACTAAAAAATAATCACCTTATAAAATGAAGCTAATTCCTTATTTTGTTTCAGGTTTATGGTTTTCCTGTAAACCAACTTTTTGACATGCTCTTAGAAATCAGAGATCAATATAGTGAAACTCTGCTAAAGAAGTGGGCAGGCATTTTTAGGTGAGAAATTATTTATGTTATTGTGCGTGTGTGTGTGAGTGCACACATGTGCATGTGTGTACAATGTGTTTATGTGTAGGGCATTTCAGATGCAATGGGCAGCAAGCAGGCTCATGGGTTCTAGCTATGATCCAGGTTATGAGTGACAATAAAAGTAAAGTGCGATGATGTCCTACATAAAGTTCCCAAGATGTCCACTATCAGTGTGTTAGTGTCTGCCTCGTGGGAGTCCCCAAATCCCACTGTGGCTGTTTTTTGTTCCCTTGGATAAAGAAGCATCTTGGTTCATGCCATGTATATCATCTCATGTCTTCTTATTCAATTTTTTGTTTTCTCTTTGGGGATCATTTCTAGCCTGTGGCTCATTCATAAGGGGGTGGCTTTTGAACTGTTTTGAATAGTTTCACTTCTTTGGAATCTTTGTTATTTTTTCAAATCTTTTTTGAAATCTCACTCATGTGATTCCTCATCCTTTTCCTTCACACAGAGAAGAGGCCTATTACAACCCAATGTTTGAAGCATATTATTTAAATAGTTGTCATAACATGCATATAGCAATAAGAAAGTTATTTTGTTACGCCTCCCACTTAACAAATGTCTCCTTGGACTGGCATACACCCCGTGTCGTGAACTTGAGTTTCTTCTCCTTTTATGTCTTTACTCCTTTAGCCAGTGAAGTGATCTTGCTGCTTTTACTGCATGATCCCTTCTCCAGATCAGCTCACCTTGTTTTCAAGTTCCTGCAGCTTTAAGGCCTTTCATTGCCTCTTCCGTCTTAACTCTGTATAGTGTATGAACATGTCTTTAATAATCACATAGCAAGACTCATTTGTATATTAATATAAACATTTATATTTCTGAGAAACAGGGTTATTTAGTGGTACAATTGTATCTGATGAAAAATATCTCTACAGGAACCTTGAAAATTAATTACATGATATAGTCATGTCTTAAGAACATCTAATCTGATGTCTTCAATAAATTTCTGTTTTGATTTTGATGGCATGGTTTTGCTTTTATAGAGCCCCCAGTCTAGTTAAGGAGTCAGAACCTAAGGAGGAAAAAAAATTATGCTCACTATAGAGCAGTAGATGAAGTAAATGACCATAATTTGGACTTATTATGGAAGTTACTTTTTCTCATCTGCCAGTTTTGAAAGAAAAGCTAGTATAGGGTTAAAGAACATAATCATATTTATCTTTTAAAATATTTTTATTTATTTTTTAGAGAGAAAAGAAGCAGGGGAGAAAGAGAGGGAGAGAAACATCAGTGTGTTAGAGAAACATCTGTTGGTTGCCTCTTGCTTGCCCAAAACTGGGGACTTGGCCTGAAACCCACTGAACCACACCAGTAAAGGCTCATATATATTTTATTTAAGAACAAAGAACAAATGAAACCTCTTTGCCTTTTCCAGAGCACATTGTTCTTTTATTCTTAATTTACTTGCCTTAAGGCTTCATTATGTTGCCTTAAATTTTGTCTCATTTTTAAATCTCAAATACTGTGAGAGCATATTTACAATTGTGTTCTTTTTGTTTCAGAAGTAGTTTTCTTTTAAGGATGTCCTTACCTGAAGCCAAGTAGCTATGTTGTAGAAGGAACAAACTAGGGACTGGGAAATGTTTTATTTTGGGTTGTGGAATATACATACATAACCATTGGAATTCATCTGAAAATCACTTGTGTTCACTACAGGCATTAACCCACTCTCCCTGTCCCTCTTGTTCCCTCCCTCCCTCCTTTCCCTTCTTTATTTTCTTTTCCTTTTTAAAAAAAATCATTGTTCAAGTACAGTTGTCTCCACTTTCCCTTTACCACTCCCCACCATCCCCCCATCCCCACCTCCCACTCTCAATCCTATCCCCTTTTGGCTTTGTCCATGTGTTGTTTATATATTTTCCTTGATGACCCTTTCCCTCCCCCCCCCATTATCCCCTCTCTCCATTATCCCCCCTCCCCCTCTGGTTACTGTCTTTTTTTATTTCAGTGTCTCTGGTTATGTTTTGCTTGCTTGTTTGTTTTGTTGATTATGTTCCACTTACGGGTGAGATCATTTGATACTTGTCTTTTATTTTCTTTGTAGAAACATACTTGATTCTGACAACTATAGTCCCATACCAGTAACAAGTGAAGAGATGTATAAAAAGGTGGTAGGACAATTTCCATTCCAAGATACTGAGCTGGAAAAGGTGAGCAATACTTTAAAATAGACTTTTTTTGTTTCATTTGGCATTTTTTACAAGCTCTCATTGTACTGGTCTTATTAAAGGCATTACCTCTAACTCAGAGGGTTAGAACTAGAACACCTTCAAAGGAGGCTTTGGGCTTAGAACAAATTTCTGTTTGGGCGGTCAGTAGATAGCTGTGGGGTCCTTTCACCTATGAGGTGTTTGTGGGATTGAAAGATTTGGTGTACATGTCAAAATACTTGCCTTTATTATACCCTTAGGATATTTCTCCCTACAACACGCAGTAAAATTTACCTTTTGTGCTCTATGATTCTGTTGGTTTTGACAATGCATTGAGTCGAGTTATGTACCACCGCAGTAATGACACAGAGCAGCTCCGTCCATCCCCCACACTCCCTCCTGCTGCCCTGTTTCAGTCAGTCTCTCCTCCCACCCCCAGCTCTCGGCAACCACCAGTCCGGTTGCTGTCCCTCTACTTTTGCTTTTTCTTGAATGCCAACATTATCGGAATCATACAGTAGGCAATCTTTTGAGACTTTTTTTTCACTCTGCATAATGCTTTCATAATTTATCCAATTTGTTGCATGTTATTAATAGTTCATTCTGTTTTACTGCTGAATATATATCACAGTTTATTTACAACTTCATGTTTTGGAGGACATTTGAATTATTGTTTATTTAAATTTATATCTTTATTCTTTTTAGTATTAGGAAACTTACAGAAATACTTTCTTAAATTGTGGTTGTTAAGCAGATAAGTCACAATGTAGAAGAAAATTCCTTTCCATTTTAATTAATATGCAATTATCTTTAATGTGTGTTTATTTATACTTGCATTAATTCTTGCATTTACAGCAACCATTTCCAAAAAAGTTTCCTTTCTCTGAATTTGTGCCAAAAGTTTACAGCCAAATTAAAGAATTTATCTACGCCTGTCTGAAATTTTCGGAAGATCTTCATCTAAGGTATAGTATGATACAGTGGAAATGCAAGAGATACGAGATTGCGACTATATACATAAATATCTTGAAAAAATTTTGATATCCTATCAGCTCTGATTTGGAAAATCTTAAAATATTAGCCCTTCACAGCGTGGCACTGCTATATTTATATAGTCATGGTGAAAGGGAATGTGGGAAACTGCTTATATCTTGTTTTTGTTTATATCACCTGGCTTATTCTCTACTATTCACAGGTTTGCATTTTAACACTTTCTGTTAGTGAGAATTCATTAGAATAGAGTAATATAACATACTACTTTTGACATTCTATTTGATGACATTTTAAGGCCAGTAGGAGTATAGCAGATAAAACCCTTTGGAAATATCCCTCTTTCCAAATGTTCTCTGCACTTGTTAAAGGTCTCCCTATCTCCTTTACTTTATATTTAATTATTTAACTAACATATATTGAGCCTATTAATATACCAGATACAGCCTGCTTTTTGGGAATGCAGAAGTAAAGGGTGCAGTTTTTTGCCCTTAGATTTTGTCAGTATCTACTGAGGATAGCAGACATGAAGACAGACATGTAAAATATACCAGGGTGAGTGTTGTAATCTGTACAGTGTACTTTTAAACACCTAGAAGAGCACTTAGCTCATCTTAAAGAGTTTGAGGGAGACCCTGGCTGGTGTAGCTCAGTGGATTGAGCTTGGGCCTGCGAACCAAAGGGTTACCAGTTCAATACCCAGTCTGGGAACATGCCTGGATTGCTGGCCAGGTCCCCAGTTTCAGGCACAGAAGAGGCAACCACACACTGATGTTTCTCTCCCTCTCTTTCCTCTCCCTTCCCTTCTCTCTCAAAGTGAATAAATAAAATCTTAAAAAAAAAACAACAAAACAATTAAAAAAAAAGAATTTGAGGGAGAATAGTCATGATGACCAGCTCTCTATAGAGACCTAGTTCTCTTAGGAAATGACACTTCCTTTCACCGAATCAGGAACCCAAGAGTCATTTTCAACTCCAATTGTCTATTTAACAACTCTTTTAAAAAATAGTTTCTTATTTTTCAATTATAGTTGGTATACGATATTACATTAGCTTCAGATGTACAGTCCAGTAGTTAGACATTTATATAGTTTATGAAGTAATCACCCCAATACATTTAGTACCCATCTGGCACCATACGTATTCATTACAATACTATGGACTATATTTCCTGTGCTGCACTGTACATCCCTGTGGCTATTTTGTAACTATAAATTAGGACTTCTCAATTCCTTCACCTTTTTCAGTCCCACACCCCCAAACTGGCAGCCACCAAAATTTTCTGTGTGTCTGTGAGTCTGTTTCTAATAACTTTTATTCTTAAAGTTTCAGGCATTGGTCTAAATTCCCGTAAACAATTTACAAATATGTTATTACATCTGTAAAACTCAAGACAGCACTTATTTACGGGACACTCGGAAGCATACTTAAGTTCTACGGAAGAAGAAAGTGGGTGGAGCGTAGATAGCTCCGTCTTGGTCACCCGGGGAGGAAGTGCTGGGGCCGATTCAGATCTCATTAGCATCAGCATTAACAGAACAATCACTGCCGTGTGCAGAATTATTACTCTGGTGGTCATTCTGTTAGTATTTTACATGCTTCATCTCGGGTAGTTGTCATAATATTTCTCTGAGTTGAACCCTAATTATTCCTATTTAACAAATGAGGGCAGTGTTCATTTGTAAATGAGCTTCCTTAAATCTGTAGTATGAATTTTTTCCCCAGCTCTTCTTTTTTAAATTCTCTCTTCATAATGTGTCTGGTTTAATTTATACTGTAGTCATATTTGACCTGGACTGTTTAGATAGTCTCCTAATCATTTTTCTATCTCTAAGTTTACTTTCCCAACCATCCATCTTTTCTTTCCTGATTCTATTCTGTATGTCCCCTAGAGTCATTTTTTAAAAATCAAATCTCATTTAACTTTTGTTCTTTTCATCTTCTCAGGGATTCCTTGTGGCCAATAGGATAGAATGTGCTCTAGCCTGACACATTTCTCTGTCTGCCTCCCCCCATGGCCCCGACCTAGTGCCCCCATACCCTTTGCAGGTTCATACCCCAGGGTGATTTCCACGTCACTCCACACTTCAGTCATACCCGCCTCCCCCTGTTTTCTGATCAGAACATGCTATTTCATACCTCTCTGAGTTTGCTCATGGTTCTTCCTCTACTTCAAACCACTTTTCCTTGTCAGTACTCTTGACTGGCTTCTAACTGTCCTTGAAAACACAGTTAAACATGTGCTGAATGAAGTCTTTTTGACCGCTTCCATTCCTTATGGAATTAATTTAGTGACTCCTTTGTGCTACTTCTGTGCCCTGTGAATACTCATCCTAGTTTCTATTGCTCTACTTTTTTCTATGTGTTTCTGTATGTGTCAGATTATAGGTTTCTTTCTTTATCAGTTTATTCACCATACATTGTGAGTAATTATTATTATTCGTCAGATGGTGGTTGGTAGGAAGGTCATTTAAGACAATGAAAATGTGGCCCCTGTGGTCAAGGAGTAACTGCTCTAATTGAGGAACTGAACAATTGGTGCTGAGTGCTGTGAGGGAGATACATAGGGCCAACATAGTAACCAACTCTGAGACAAGTGGAAGATGTCAGAAAGTGATGCTTGAAGGTGGAAACATTGTGTATTTTGTTCAACATGGTATGTTCTGCACCCAGTTCAGTAAATTAAAACAATGAATGAGTGACCAGTATCATAGTATACCAGGCAACTCTGAAAGTAAGCCTAACTGGAAAATAGTCTGAGTAACATGTTTGATAGCCATTTTTACTAAGTAAAAAGTGAAACATGGGGTTTGTACAATTAACTTGTTCTTTTCCCTGAGAATGAGATTAATTTCATAGACATGTTCTCATGGAATGAGATTATTTTTGGGACTTGTAAACGAAAACTTCTTTTTACCCCCTTTCTCCTGGACTGCTCCCTCCCACAGTCTCTCTAGGGCAGAGTTAGGTATGCCACAGTATGTAATTTATGCAAAGCATATTGCATAGTGACTTTTCCTATCCTCTTTTGGAAGGAAGGTGATATGGTAAAGAGATAATGTGAGTAAATTGTTCAGAAGTCTCTTTCTTAGCTGAAGATGTTGTGTTTGCCTGAAAATTCCCTTTGATATGTTTAACACTGCCAATTGCCAATTTAAAATATACATTCAGTTTGGGAAAATTTTCTGCTTTTTACTCTGTGGTTGCCATGTATCTTATTTCCTGGACTACATTTACCTGTAACCTATAGTGACAGAGATCACTTTGACAAGTGTAGCTGTCATGGGGGGAGGTTATAATTTGGGTGTGAGCCACAGTATATACGAAAACAATTAGTTCTCTTAAACACAAGGCTTTTAAAACAAAAGAACTGCTGTGTCGATATTTTTATGAAGCTTCAAGGACAGTTATGTTCAAATCAAGTTTTCATTCTTTTTCTGCAAGCATTTTCACTTTCACATTAGATAAAAATCTGAAAGAACTATAAATATTGAAAAATATATAATTATGAGTTCTGAAGACACAGAACTCTCTTGGAAGGAAAGTTCTTTTTTAAAACAGTAAATAAGTACCATTTCTTTAGTAAAATAATGCTCTAGCATTTGTACTTAACTTAAAAAAGTAAGAATACATACACATGTATATACATATATTTTTAAGTTACTAGAATTCAGTCTCTGTAAAGAATTTGGGAGGTATAGAATATCACAAAAAATAAAAACTTATAAGACCCCAAACTACCGTCTAGTGATAAACCACTATGTGTGGGAATTTTTTCTCTTAATCTTTTTCATGTAAAGACATACACACAGCACTTTTTTTAAAACAAGTTGCTATGAGATACTTCCACTTTTGTTTGTCATATTGAAAACTAGAAAGCATTGCTTTCTCCCTGAGAGTGAAAAAAACAAAACAAAACAAGGCAAACTACAAAATGAAAACATTTCTGGAACCCATCAGGGAGCTGAGTTACAGGATGACCAAACACGTGGCAGTCCAAAATGAGACTACCCCGCCACCCAGCCCCACCCAGGAGAGAGTGACAGGGTGCACCACAGACTCCTGTGCAGAGCAAGGAAGAAGGGCATAGCAGTCATATGGGTGAGAAAGTAGACAGTAATTACGTCTTAATGGATCACTAATACCTTAGTCGGAGCTAGTATGTTAGTACAGAACCTCTACTTGTGTGTCCCAGATGCAGAAGGAATTTATACACACTCATTGCTCTTTGCAGTGGACCTCCAATGCATGCTCATGAAAAAGACTGGGAGCTGGCAAAGAGATCAGAGAGAATCATCCATGATTTTGCAGGCATAGAGAAGGGGATCAGCCACCACTGTGAAAAGGGCACAGAGCCCCGCCCCTCTGGCTTGGACCCCTCACTCATACTGATCAAAACATTTACAGCCCCGGGGGAAAGGAAGCAAACTCTGTCTGCAGGGCACAGGAAAAGACCCATTATTACTACAGGAAGGACTGAACAAAAGAAAAGTCTTTTTACCAAGGTAGAAATGGTAGAAAACAGTCTTGGGCCCAGCATCTCACACCAAATGCTGTTAGTGGTCTTCTAACAATGGTAGAAGGCACACAGCTGCACTAGATTCCCCACAGAGACAAAGCAGAGTCTGGCTGTCATTAGAAGGAAGGGCAGGGATGTTGAGCAAGCTCCACCCCTTGGTGCCAGGCACACAGGACCTATGTAAGACTGATCCTGGTCAGGACAACAGAGAAAGTCCTTCATTCTCTACTAATAGTATAACAACAACTGAATAATCTGTGACTGGGTGATGGGCAAGAATGCAGATTTATATAGATACAGATATATCAGTTCTGTATGGTAGGCATACAGGAATAGCCAAAAGCTGTGGATGATGCAGACACTTTATGAAGAACCTTCTGGGATCCCAGCACCCACATGAGGCACATGGTAGCATGAGAAAAGTCTGAAATCTATGAGGCACTGAAGATAACCATA